TTTTAAGTGTGGGAGAGCCATGCTTCGGCACGAATGGGCCGGCTCGACCGGAGTGATACCACGGCCTCACAGAAAACCGACGTGAAGCAACGCTTGCGTTGTGTTTCGTCGTGTGAGTGAGGTTACCGGAGGCCCAATTACCCTCCCCTTCCCCAATCTCCCCAATCCCTGAATCCCCAACGATCCTCAAACTCCTAATCCCCAAAAAGCCGGTAACGCACTTGTAACGCCTCTGGTGTTCCAGGTGTCCATGGGCGACGCCGATTGCTTACCATCAGGTGATCCGTCCGCTCGATTACCGGCTTATGCCATAAAAAAAAACAACCAAATAAAGACGAAGCCAATCAAAAGCAACATCAAATTCTTCCATACCGTAGAGCTACACCATAAGCAACCTCATTACTTATTAATTTTCCGGCGTCTGTTGCTCTTCAAGCAAAAGAAAAATCTCGTAATACCGGTTGTTTTGTCTTAAGTAAACGAACATTTTACGGGAAAATTATGAGCAGTCATGCAAATATTCACTTTTTATTTCGTCGTCACATTTTAATTTCTTGGTTTGTTCTTCCAATGCTGACTTATCTTTTTCGTGGCTCTTTGCTTTTGTAGAAACAGGATTAAGCGTATTTGATCTAAATATTATAGAGGGCTGCGTCGACTTAAAAATGGAAATCAGTTCTAGGCAAAATAAATCAACCTTTCTTATTTTGATCTGTTAAATACCATTCATTGTAAATTTGTAAAACAACACGATTACTGATCTTTTTTTTTGTTTTGCTTTTTATACTTCATCCTGATGATTAAAAAAAATATTCCTTAAAATTCTAAAATCCTTTCGTTTCTCTTACAGTACAAAACTATAGAATAAAATTTAAAGTAAGAGATCATTTTTGGAATTATTTATTATGTACCTTATATTAACTATAACAAAATTAATTTCAATTCAACATCCCAATTTCCAGGCCACCTATTTGAGCATCCTTTATAGTGGCTAAAAATAGTTTCTTTCAAAGATTCCTTTAAGAAAACCGATCACCATTGTAAGGGTGTGTGAAAACCAGGACCCTTTTCTTGAACAAAAACTTGTGGACTACAAAAAGTACGGTGAAATAATTCAGCTCAGCTCACATATCGATCCTAGAATTTATGAGTCTGCCGACGATCATAAATTTTGAGATCAAAGGGAAGACTAAGCTGGGAACGTTGTACCCAGTTTGCAATAGAATATGTAGTATAGAGGACAATATTTGAATTTTTTTTTTTTTTGATTGGTATTGTGTATTTATTTTTATTGATTCATTGATGAAGACTGATGTTTCAATAAATTATACGATTTAGTTGTAAGTCCCATCGTAGGCTTTAAACAAAGCACTATAATAAACTCCATACTATATTGAGGAGAGATCTCTAAAAAGACAAAACAATCCCATTTATTCTTTGGACGACTTGTGAAACTAACTTCTCGCCTTGGCTCTGCTTGCTAGTCGCTCTAGCAAGCACTTCACCATTACGTCATAACTAAAATGAAAACAGAACGAAGACATAAATCATTTATAACCACTTGAAATCTTACTTAATGAACCCAAAAGCAATATAAAGAACCAAATGTCACAAATGAGTGTATTCAACCCCAGGACAAAATGAATTCTGTGGAATATTTTCAGTGTTAATCACCAAATTTTGGGTTGCAATCGAAATTGTACAATCATTAAATTTAAAAATGACAGCACCAATATTGACATACAAAGGGCCATTAAAATTCATGTTTTATCGAATAAATTCTACATTACGACGAACTCAGTTGAAATGTGCAAAAGAATTTAAAGTGTTTAACAACATTTTTTGTCGATTGTACCAATAAAAATAACAAATAATCACTGGTCTAATATTCAGTATATTATTTCTACATTTGAAGGTCAACTTATAATGGATGATATTTTCTTGGTATTTCGTCGTTAGTATTAAGGTATTTTTGTAAAGATTTTAATGAATGTTAAACTGATATTTTTCTCAAATAATTAAATTTTAGATTGAATTTTTGTTACATTAATTAATTGGAACGTTATAGAGGCGGTATTTATTGGATATTTTTAGTTAATGGCTATTAGTATTAAATTGCGCTGTAAGCATTCTTTTTATATTTATTTAGTAAAATTGTTATTGTATTTTTATTAAACAACATTAGTCAATACGTAGGTATATCATTGGGTAGTCACAAACGCAATTCTTCAGTACACGATTTTAAGCAGGGTCCTGTGTGTGTTATTTAGATTTGATGAAACTTGTATGCATAGTAAATGCATTAACTTGACGTTTCCTCATTACGATAAACATTTCGTATGTAATAAATACATGATTCAAACGATTACAGCAAGCATTTTAATTTGTTGCAAGATACTCTTTAAAAAAATCCTGCTATCTACTTTCTCCAGGAAAACCAAGACCATAATACAATTTTCTTTTCCTCAGGCCACCCCATATGGATCGCGAAAATTTAACCCACCACGCGGCACTGAACGCGACGGTCAACGCGACTGGCAACAGCACAGTCGCGGAGGCCGACGATGATGACCTGACACAGAGCATATTCTTCAAGCTGAGGATGTCAGTACTCCTGCTAATTGTGATCATGGCAGTGCTGGGGAACATGCTGGTTATTGTTAGTGTTATGAGGCACAGGTGAGTTTTTTTTTTAAACGGTAAACGAGCAGACGGCTCACCTGATGGTAAGCAATTGGCGCTGCCCGAACAGTCCATGGACACCCGAAACACTAAGGTGTTACAAGTGCGTTACCGGCCTTTTGGGAATTGGGAATTTGAGGATAGTGAAGGATTTCGGGATTCGGGAGACTAGGGAGGGGGGTAATTTGGCCTCCGGTAACCTCACTCACATGACAAAACACAACGCAAGCGTTGTTTCACGTTGGTTTTCTGTGAGGCCGTGGTATCACTCCGGTCGAGCCGGCCCAATTGTGCCGAAACATGGTTCTCCCACACTTATTTGTTTTGTGGCTGTTTGTTTTTTTTACCAACAACTCGTCAACGTATATTCAACATATTGATTGACTCTGCTTGATCAGTGTTCTATTCACGCGATTCTTGCTCATTGATTCTTGGGATTGACATACAGATTGACTATTTGATTAGAAATACCTACATATTTTTTAAGTATGCTATTAAATAAACGTTTTTAAAACTTTATCTAAAACCATAAACAACTTATATTATTGAATTCAAAGTTAAATACATACAACTTACATTTCATTTCATTTGACTGTTTGTTCAACACAAATGATAAAATTCTTCAATAAAACTTCACATTAAATATTACGACTGTACTATAAAATATCATAAATTACGTACATTATATTAGTAGATATGAGTAAATAAAACGATTGATTCCTAAAAGTATACAAATACGACTAATACGAGTTGGTTATTTTATAACTGTTCACGAAGAACGATTGGTACTTAGCATCTATTTAATGGCTGATGAAAACCAATATTTGTTTACTATTAATATTCTTGTGGAATAAATTTTATGGTAAACAATTTTTTTGTATTTTTAGCTTTAGTCTACACTAGCTGTTGCCCGGAACTTCGTCCACGTAGTATATGATTCCTTTTTTATCCCATGGGCATTTCATCTAAGTCAGCCCATCCCCTACCTATATATTAAAGTTCATTAAAATGCAGCGTGATTGACGGACAACCATCGAAAGAACGAAACATTCAAATTTATAATATTAGTGTGATAAACCGTTGATTAATCTAAAATAAGATTTAATTGAGACAAGCGTAACATAACATCACATAACATCACGCCTTTTATCCCCGAAGGCGTAGGCAGAGGTGCACTCAGAAGTAACACCCACTTTTCACTATTTATGTTATGAGTTCCATGTAATAAGGGGTGAGCCTATTGCCATGTACCGGGCACATTTCCAGACTCCGTGCTACTACCGAGAATTTTTAAAAACCCAGTGATACTTTGCCCGACCCGGGAATCGAACCCGAGACCACTTGCCCGGCAGTCGCACTTGCGACCACTCGGCCAAAGAGGCACAAACGGTGGATTATTTTTGTACGGGCTTCATTAGACCCGGTTAGGAACTACAGCCTACACGTTTGACAGAGACCGGGTAGCAGTACTTTTTGAAAAACTTAAACATTTTAAATTGCTATGATGCCATGGTGATGATGGCTGTGATGCATGTGATGTGATGATGCTTAGCTGGTGAGGAGGACCTCACCTATTAATAGTGGATGTTACGGCAAACTTCTCTTATGCAGAAGTACTTTACTGTTCTTTAAAAATAAATTACTAAAATTCTTTTAAAATATATTCTATAAAACCCTTTAGAAGTCTAAATGAAATCCAACGAAATCACTTTTTATAACGATCCCAAAAATCGTCCAGACTGCTTAAGTTCCAAGCTTATCGCCAGCCGTTGACCTGAAAAATTAAGTCCGTTTAAGTCCGCCATTAATTCAAAGAATCTTTTAACATTCCTTTATTAAATGAAACTTTCTAAAATTAAGCTAACAAGTCTAATTTAGGGATAACTGTCTGTCGACCATTATAATTGAACCAGAGAATTATAATTAAGTTTAGAATCTTTACCAAAATCGACCAATCTCACACCGACAGCGTGATTTGAATTTGAAAATTATTATAGAAAACTTTTTGAAGTTAATTCGTTAAGTTTTAATGAAGATGTATTTGATGAATGTGTTAAATTTTATTAGGTTTTGAATTATCAATACATTGAAGTCAGTTTTATAAAGAAAAAGTTCGGTAATGTCAGTGTTGAGTCTCAAGACATTTGATATTACCTTTTAGTATAAAATTATTCCTTAGGTTGGTATACACGCATTTATACTTACTAATAAGATAAACAAAAAGCTACAGATTGGTTGCCACCAATCTGTAGCTTTTTGTTTATCTTAATTTAAAACCAATTAATTGTTTGCAAGAAACAAAAAAAAACCCACGAAATTTGTATCACATTGATATTCATTGTTCGGTGATACATCATCGAAATCTCATTTATCAATGAATAACTTCAAATAATAACAAACAAAACCAAGTATCAAATATACAAAAGTGAATTGATCATTTTGGGTGCAGAAACTCATCAAAAGTTTAATACAATGGCAGAACAATGAGAAATCAGAAATATAGTTGTAATATATTTCGCTAAACTAATCCTGAGTATGAGACCCGCGTCACAAGTGTAAACGTTTCCATCGTTATAACTTTGGTCCAAGCAATCAAAAGTTTTGCTCCCTTTTTCTTCTTATCATCAGTTCATTCTAATAAACTAGTCGCTGAAACGGTAGGACAAATTACTTTATTATTCGCAGACATTTTGTTTCGGTCTTTTGTATATTGTAGTTAGTTGGGAACTTTGATAAAACTGCTATTATGAAGTATTACCAAAGATTTTCAAGGAGAAAGTCTGATAAAAAATATAATGAAATCGTCTATGTCATGCCAATTAACTCGGTATCTTCCACTGCTAGACTCCGTTCCAATACGGAGTCGCGGGTTGCCGAGACTCTGATTTGAAGGGCAAGAGTAGAAACGGGGTGTATATCAAGTAAAAGTTTAGGTTTGGTTAGACACTGATTCTTAGTTTATGTTGGAGAAAATGGACATACGTCATTTACAGTAGAGGTAAAATCCCTAAAATCCTAAACAATTTTCACATTAAATCATTACGGCAAATACCATCTCATGGGCCTCGTAATAAGCTATTATGTTTTGATTCAGTAGAAAATATTAAACCTTTACTTGCTTTTAACGATACTCCAGAGCATACAGGACATTCATTTTATCTTTTCTCATGAGTGTGATAAAAAAGGCATGAATTTACAGTGTAAAGTGAAGTTTTCTCGCTTACGAGCTATTTGACAATTTTTCACAATCATAAAACTGTATATCATAGCAAATTAACAAAAATCTGATTGTTTTTTTAAATAATAATAAAACGTTAGTCCCTACTGGAATTTTGTCCTGGTTCACATATACATGACACTCAGGCTTGTAATAACTAATTTATGCATCACACAAAGAGGTGATCGTGCGGGTATCGAACTAGCTACACACTGCGCGGCAGCCGGTTGCCCAACCACAGCACCAAGAGTGCAGTCGGAATTCAATTGTGTTGACTTTAGGCATAAAAAGGCAGCTTGTTGCCCAGCTACAGCATCAACCAAATCATCTCCATGACAGTTGATTTATTAACTTACTTCCCCAAATAATGCTATTCTTCTCCCACAGGAAACTTCGAGTCATAACCAACTATTTCGTCGTGTCCCTCGCGTTCGCTGACATCCTCGTCGCTATGGTGGTGATGCCGTTCAACTTCAGTGTCCAATTCTACAACAGCTGGCTATTTGGACCCACCATTTGCGATCTATGGAACTCCTCAGATGTCTACTTCACATCAACGTCGATATTACATCTGTGTTGCATATCCGTGGATAGATACTACGCTATTGTTAAACCGTTGAAGTATCCTATTAAGATGACGAAGAAGGTTAGTTACTTACTTCTTATGATTATAAATATAATAAATGCTTTTACTACTCTTGACCAAGGGCGTTGAAAAACGGCGGACATCATGTCATTTAGAAATGACTGAAGCACCAAAATGTCAGTGGTTTTTATAAGGGCGTATGTAATGAGTTGTCACTTTACCAGATTTGAAAAAATTACAGATGTCCTTCACGTCGATGTGTTAATGTTCTGCGTGTAAATCTATAGTAGCCATGTGCCATAGTCGTTAGTTCAAGAGACTGTGTCGGCCTATTTTCAACATCCTTGGTTGTCCATTTAAAGCTGTTTAATATGATATAACACAATCTGCATTAATTAGTTACTTCTTATCAATTATGTATAGCTGAAGTGGAACTGAGAATTAAGAAAACTGAAAAACAGTATAAGTAGCTCTAATGATCGATGATGCAGTCATTCATGTCTATTTTATTTGTCTTTAACAACTCCATTCCATATCAAGACGTCAATCTTTATCGTCAAATACCTTATCTTCAGTTTCAATCAGTCCAGCTCAATTGACCCCAATATCTTCTGCACCAGTTTTTTGATAATCCTTGATACAAGAACTAATCAAAAGAATAATTCACTCTGAATCTTTGTACACATGACTGCACGTCAACTTATACAAAACCATTTTATTATGATCTCGCTTTTTGTGATCGCTCCACATATTGAACGGTCTGTTAGTTTATTCTGGTTTTGCATAGCTCGATGTGTAGCCATATTTTCGTCACCAATTGAGATATTAAACTAAAAGCATTAATTTGTAACTAAAGCAGACATATCATAAATAATTCAGATGAATATTAAATACTCTACTAATGTAGGAATAATTAGTCACTGGAAATGTTTAATTATAGTTAATTATGAATTCAATGTGAGAGTAATTGCCGACAAATTCGTTAATCACCAGAAACTGGTTCGAGGAAAATATTTAATGGGGTTCTTGTTACGTTTTGGTGAAATTTGTTTTAACAATACTGAAACAGAAATATGAAATTAAATGTTATGATGATTTTAATGTACAAGAAATGAAAATTACCTTTAAAACACGTCTATTCTAATTGAAAATAACGGCTCTTTAACGTGAATCTATTGAGAAAAGCTACTAGTTTCAAGTCATAACTGGATTATTTAATAGGGTAGATGCCTAATTTTTATTTTAATGTCCATCTGGCAGATTATTTTAAATCGTTAGACACGTTATTTTTATTTTTTTACAGAAACGTATACTTTTGACGTTATATCGATTTGAAATGTCACGCGACGTCACTTCTATGTACATTTTATACGTAGAAATGACGTTTTAGCCCCCACTTCTAAACTTTGATTCGTTTTATCTAGATATTGTTTTAATTTACGACAAAATAAAAAAATACGTGTCTAATATTTTTTCATTATCTAACTGACGGATTAATTATATTTTTAATTTTCTTACCTTGTCATCATCCCCATTCAGTATGTCTCACGATATTTTCAAACAAATATAGGTATTTAGTCTAAAATGAAAATTATTTTAATACTATTCCTTATTTCCAGATGGCGTTCGTCATGTTAGCAGCAACATGGCTAAGTCCAATCACAATATCCTACGTCCCAATCTTCATGGGCTGGTACACAACCAGCGATCATTTAAAAGTGCAAAGAGCTGACGAGTGCGAGTTCATAGTAAATAAACCCTACGCGGTAATATCCAGTTCTATCTCATTCTGGATACCCTGCACCATAATGTTGTTCACGTACTATGCAATATTCAGGGAAGCGAACAGGCAAGAAAAGAATTTGCACGCCCGAGCTGGAAATGCGATGCTAATGCACAGACATTCTCGTGAAGTAGGTGATAAGAATGGCGCCTTACATATAAACGCAACGACTCCAACCAAGGATAGAAATATCCTCAAAATGAAGAGAGAGCACAAAGCAGCCAGAACATTGGGCATCATCATGGGTGCCTTCATTCTCTGCTGGCTTCCCTTCTTCCTATTCTACGTGTCAACCTCATTGTGTGACTCTTGTAGATGCCCTGAAGTTGTGACAGTGATCATGTTCTGGACTGGGTACTTTAATTCAGCTTTGAACCCGATAATTTACGCGTATTTTAATAGAGACTTTCGTAATGCGTTCAAGAATACTCTTGCGTGTGCGTTCTGTAGTTTCTGTAAGAGAAGTGCTTCGGATCTTGATGCTTTAGAACGGTTAGATAGACGTGGTTCTGCTCAACTGAGAGTGCCAGTACCTTCTAGAAGAACTTCAGATCTAGCATCACTTTGAATATCGCGAAAGTGCGAAGTGACAGCGGTTTAAGAGGCCTACAACAGTCTCAACGAAATATTTAAGGACATATGTGTACTTACTTCCAAAGTTGATGTGATTTATTTAGAATCGTCGTGGTACATAATATTATTTGTATAGAAAAATATACGTACGTGTCGTATTTAGGCATTATTGATAGATTTTATTTGAAAATGAATTAATAAGTCCCGTTTTAGTGGTATAGAATAATTATTATAATTTAGACGAGGGCTTGTTAATTCATTTTTGACAAATAAAATATATAAGTAGATATTGTAATTTAAATCTCTGATAATTCTTTGCGATTATCAATCTGAACCAAAGAACATTATTTTTCTACTTTGAAAATATTTGGAATCTGTCTTTTCTAGCACAAATGGATGTGTTTCCTTTATCATTTTGATTAAATAAGTATATTTTATAACATTTCACCTCTTATTCACTGTGTATAGACTATACCAACTTTTATCAGAAATAACACTGTGTACATCAAACTAAAATATCATTATTAACTATAAACATAATAAAAAATACACCATAATTAGACTATGTATAATAGCAATATCAAAATATTATTACATCTAAAATAGAGTCATAAATCGAAAATCGTTGCAAATATTATTCAATAAAAAATATTAATAATGATACCAAGTTGTAAATATTTTTTAAAATTATAAAATAATGAATTAGTAAACGAGGTAGAATCTGAGTGTTGTATTAATAACCGTTTTTGTTACATCTTTCATTTAATTTGTATTGAAATAGGTATATCTACATTTCATTTTCTCAAAATTTGTCTTTTTTCTCATAAACTTACCTAAAGTCTTGTATAATAGAATCATTCCATAGTAGAACATTTTAAAGTCATTTTTATATAATATAATAAATATAATAATTATTATAACGTAGGCTGTTTATATTAACGGGCCTAAGTGTAAGATTTAAACTATTTAATGAGGCCAAAGTCTTGTAAATATGTAGCATCTAGGAATAAAACTAAATTATTATTAGTATAAAATAATAGTCCGTGGATAAAATAAGAAAAATAACTATTAAAGTATTGGTAACAAGAAGTATAATAGAAAATGGTTATTTATTGACCTTAATACATATGTATAGAGTGTGTACCTAATTGGATTTTATAACAAAAAATGTTACTCATTTTTAAATGAATGTCTAAGTTAGTTAATATAAGTAGTATAAATTATACTAATAAGTCAGTAAATACATAAATAATTGTTTGCCTTCATTTTTATTTGGATAAAATCATCATTATTGTTATTTTTGCTTAAAAATATTTAATAAAAAATAAGTTTCATTTAAATGAATTTTATTGTAATAGAATATGTAATTTAATTTTGTAACAAAATGTAACTAGACTTTTTTGTAAATAGCTATTATATAAATTAATAATATAGACTTGTAGATAAATAGTTTAGCTATAATAATAGGTATATCAGTCACTTAGTAATTAATGTTACGATTTTATTTAAATTAAAATAGGAAGATACTATAATGGGGACAAATAACGCTTCAATAGAGAAAAAAAAAAGGATTTTTAAAATAATGATTATCGATGTGCTACGGTAAATACCAAATCTATTAGATTTGATGTTTGTAACTTGTCAGTGTTGTGTCAGAACTCATCGTTTTAAATATTAATAGTTGTATGGAATTACTAACTTGACTATTAATCGCACTATCCGCTTTTCAGTATATTAGACTTTATCAAATACTTAAGAATTTGTTATAATATATTTCATGTAACATAAATGAATAAGTATTTATTGTAACAATTTTATTTTAATTTCAAACTTATTTTATTTTTATGAAAAATAAATAGGTTTGTCATTGTAATTAAAAGTGTTGATAAAGTCTATACTGAGCACTTATTGTTTCCTCTTGCGTCCAAATATAATCTAATATTTATTTTTGTCGTGTCAATGTCCATAATCCACCGTTAGCTTGTATTTCTGCGTTCTCATAAACGGTGTAGAATTGTTGTTTCAAATAAAATAATGAATTAGGAGAACTGTTAAATTTCTCAAATTAAATTCCTCATTATTTACCTACAAATAATTCAAAAAATAACAACAGTGTTCTAAAATTAGTAAGGCCTGTTTCATTATGAATAAACAGTAATAAACGTTTGTAATATAAATAAATACGACATTTTTTACTTAAATTATTTTATTTGAGCAACAATTTCAAAATTCGCTATTGTTAATTCAATGTGTCTTCCTTTTGAATAAGTAAAATAGGCTCAAAGTATATGTAAAAATATTAGATGAAATATTAGGGAGTAAAAATTTTAGTAAAACATTATTAATAATATTTATAGCCAATTTTTAGTGTGTATAGTATGTGCGAAATTGTAAAAAAGCACGTACGGGCTGTAATTGTAAAAAAAAGTAATAATAAATGGTTGTGACTTCTATAGTTATTACAACTAACTATCTAACAATATTAATCATATCTGAGAATAACTTATTTTTCCAAAAAGAACCCTGTGCTTTGTTTAATAAATTCAAATTTCTATTGTACATATTTTGATATACGTAAAATGTAACGTTAGAAATCTGCGATTAAGTTTTTAATTATTGCTATAATCTATTTTTCTTTTGAGATCCGTCCATTTTATTTTTCTTTTTTTCTTTTCTCTGTGTTCCTGTAGATAGCTTGTTGTGATTTCAGAAAATAATCAGTGTTAGAGACTTGTAGACGAATATCAATGTGAAATTTCTGATAAAATGTACATAAAAAATCAATGTTTGTCAGTTTTTAAAGGTATAGATGATAAAGGAGTAATTAGTATTTATTTTACGAAATAGATGGAATCAAATAGATGTTACCGTGGAATAGATAAAACAGCAATATTATGTAATTTAAAGAAACCAATACGTGTAATAATTAGCTCTGTGTATAACTAGAATAGTTTCTTCAACACGATACATTTGCAACAATTCAATATTATTTATTCAATTATTCATAGAAATGAATACATTGTATTATATTTAATTTCTGTTATTACTTTGTTAAATATTTATTGAAGTTGTATTTTTTTTGTCTGTGGTATCCTAAGATACTGTGATAGTGAATTTATTATCGTGATATAAAAAACTTGATATCACAAATCCTATTATTTTGATATTCGTTTAATCTAGTTTTATTGAGATTTTACTAAAATGATATATTTTAATTTATTTTTATTGTAAAGTTGTAAATATTCTGTTTATTGCCATACGTGATAAATTATATAGAAGAGAAACTATAATTAAATTATTAATTAATGTATTATTATTGCTATTATAAAATTGTTTAAATTATTTAAAAAAATAATGATGCGTGGTGCGACTTTAACCTTTAGGTATTTACCTAATATGTGCGTGTAATCAAAATGCTTTTTGCAAAAATAAACGAAAATTGTTTCGTATATAATATTTTGTAGTTTTTATTTTATCTGCCTCCACAAACACAGCCTACTCATATTTCTAAATTATAATATTATGAACGACATGTTTTAATGTAAGTTTATCTATACTTAGAAAGTATCTGCATAGATACATATAACTGCCTGCAACTGCAACCGGGTGGTTGCCGAGTGCAAGTTCGACTACCGGGGAAGGAGTCTCAATTTCGATTCCCGAGTCGGGCAATGTATTACTGGTTTTTTTTTTTAATTCTCAGTAGTAGCACGGAATCTGGAATTGTGCCCGGTATATGGTAATAGACTCACCCCCTACTACATGAGACTCATAACATATATAGAAAAAGTGGGTGTTACATTGTACAGTAGCATAATGTGTACCTCTGTCTACTCATTCGGGGATAAAAAGCGTGATGATGGTTATGTATTCACCTACATTCTTCAATCTTAGTTAATATTATAAATGCTATAGTTCGTGAGTGAGGTATGTGTACTCAGTTATAACAAAACAGTTGCACAGATCGCGATGAAATTTGAAACAGAAGTTTAAAATAACATATAGGCTATTTTATCACATAGATACTGACAGAAACTAGTTTATTCTACCATTGACAACCAGTCTACAAGTTGCTATTAAAACCCTCAAAACTAATCGAAATTTAAGACTTAACTTTGGATTTAACCTTCAAAACTTGAACAGTTCAGTTTATAGCTGCATTATTCTGGTTCAAACCAGTTCCATTTGTTATGACGTAAGCATTGCTTAGTTCTCAAAGTTTAAAGTTTGAGTTCTATGTCTGAATTTGAAGTGAAAGATTTAGTGAGTCGCCAAAACTGTTGAAGGAATTGTGATGAAATTTGAAACAGGTATAGGTTATGGTCTGGAATGACACAGGCTATTTTTTATCTCACCGGAACGCGGGTGGCGCCACTGGCAGAAGCTAGTATAATATAATATAAATTGACCTTTTCTGAAGTTAAACTGTCAAACACCGCGGGGACACCGGTGACCGCAACCTATTGTTCTTTAATTGTGTCTATAATGACGGTACTCGACGAGTTAAGTTGACAATTGCCGTATTTTAAGACTTAGAAAATTTATTTTGTCAAGATTTTTCTGTTTTCTAATAGCTCGTTCTTAAATTGTCCTGCACTTGAATGTATTATCAAATATATTTTACACTAGACAAACATTTTAGAATCGTAAATTCATGTAACATCATACAAAACAGTTGGGTACTTTCCTTAATCAAAACTAAATTATTTCGACTGTTCAATACAATAAAATATTTAAATATAATTGCACTTTTATTTATTGAGTTTATGACCAACTTCATTTTGGCAATTATCCAGCAAATTTTTAGGAAATAAGTGTGCTGTTTGATGCTAAAAAAACGTGACGTCACAATACACAATTTCGTACAAAATTCATAGAAAACTTTTCTTTTGACAGTTCGAAAAAAGTATTGAATTTGTCTAGTCCAAAAATTATAACTACTTTACGCTTTACAGTTGCGTAGTCGTTCGCTTCTCATTACACGAACAAGCGAACATCATTTTGACATAGGTACCCAAAGCATGGTTTGCGAAACTAAACATTCCTTCATTAAGCAGAAACAATTCCCAATCCACGAAAACAAAGCTAAAACAGAATTCAAACAAACAGCTTCATGAATCTCAAAGGAAACGTCATAAACGGGAATAATTAAATACAGGGTAGATAGTGTATCTACAGTGTGGGTATATAATGTATGTCGAAATGAGAAAATCTGTGCTTAATATTTTCAAGGAAAATATAACAAAAGACTTACATGGTTTTGTAATTGTATCGTTCGTTTATTGAAAAAATCATGAATAATAATTGTGGACAACAAAAAAAAAAACATTAAAATAAAAAAATAAAAAAAAATATTCTAAGGTTTTTTTCCTCAATTTTTATTTATTTTAACCCGATGCAGCGCTGTCTTATTGTTCTCATGTAGTTTATTCCATCACCGTTTTGAAGGCATTAGCGTTAAATTATCATAGAATTCTAAAGAAACTGGACTGCCTTACTGGCCGAGTGGTCGCCAGTTTGACTACTGGTCAGGGGATCTCGAGTTCAATTCCCGGGTCAGGCAAAGTATTACTAGTTTTTTTTTAATCTTAGTTGTAGCATGGAGACTAGAATTGTGCTCGCTGCATGACATTAG